CCCCCCCCGCCCCAAGTCTCCCGAGGTGTTGACATAAACACAGACGCTCAGCCGGGTCCCAGGGAGAGGGAGGGAGGGAGGAGAGGGGATGTTTTCTTATCTGCACAGCCCCACACCACACAGGGGAGGAGGGGGGGGCAGCAGGGAAGAGGAGGTGACAGTCGAGCAAGCAATAGCTGCATCAGCCACGACACTGCAGCAGTGCGGGCTTCCTGGGAGCAGTGCCCAGCTCGGGGGAATCGCAGCAGCACACGGGGACGGGTGGCTGTGACTCGGGGGGAAAATGTCTTCGCCACGCTGGCCTGGCCGGCGGGGAGTGGGAATTGCTGCAGCGCGAACTCCAGCGAGACGGTGCCCTGGTGACGGGCAGTGCCACAAAGCGGTGCCCACAGGACGGCACTGCAGCGGTGCCAGTCTCCTGGGGTGCCCTGACCAGCCCCTCTTCAAGGCAGGCTGCCCAGCCTGCAGCCTGGCTCCTCTCTCCTCCTCGCTGTGGTCAACGGGCTCCCGGCTATGGCTCCGTCCCAATCCCTTATCCCGGCTTATCCGCCTCTGACCTCCTTTCAGGACAGTGCAGCTGATGCCAGGGATTTCAGGGTGGCTCTTTGCGCTGCTCAAAGGAGGGCAAACGCAGGGGGACGCGGGGCCAGCAACGTGAGTGGAGAAAGGGGTTTAAAGGACTCGAGGGGAGAAGAGACCGAGTGAACGTGGGGTGGGGCAGGCGAGGCTGGATTTGGGCTTGTCGTTTGGCTTCCTCGGAGCTGGCCCCACCAGGGGCAGGTGGATGTGGGCAGAGAGATGGGACCACGGGTGACACGACCACGTAAGCAGAGAGGCACTGCATCTGGCACGGGTCTTGCGGTCGCTGCCCCGTGTGGACTCCCTAGGGAGCCAACTTCACTTTAATGGGGGTCCTGTTCCTCTCTTCCCCCCCCCCGGAGGCTGCTGGGGCATGGCCAGGGCACTGCTGCAAAGGAAGCTCGCAGCTGCGAGGGCACGGCTCCGGAGGAAGTTCCCGCGGCGCGTGCCAGATGGCGTGAGGAGCGCTGCCAAGGCGGCTGATGGGGGATCCCAGCCCAGATGGACATGGTGGAGGGCCCTGCGCAGGCTCCAGAGAGCCCTGGTGTCGCTGAATGAATCTCCCCAGTACGGGAAGCTCTTGCTGAAACTTCAGAGCCGCGCAATTTCCTCACGCTTGTGTGTTTTCCACCCACCCCAGGCAAGGGGGTAGGGAGCCGACTCCGTCTGCCCCCAGACTGCTTCTTAGCTCCCCTCAGTGCTGTGAGCTGCTATTTGCCTCATCCCCCCGCTACCGCACACCCCCCCACGCCGTGCTGAGCCCCTGCACTGGCTGTACCCCTGCCAGATGCTCACACGCGCCACGGCGTGGTTCTGGCTGGGGCCCCCTCGTTGCCCCGGGGTCCGTCCTCGGCACTGAGCTTTGCGTGGGTCCGACCCTGCTCAGGGCTGAGTGAATCATCCGTGGGAGCCGGGGGAGGAAAACCTGGCGGGGCTGGGGGTGTGGGGTGACACGCACCTCGCTGCTGCTGCCGCCTCTCCGGGGGGGGATGCAGCTCCCCGGCATCGCATGGCCCCATGGCCAGGGGAATAGGAAGGTGGGGGGGGGTGAGTTATTTTGGACCCCCTAGGGAGCAAACTTCAGCAAGAGAAGCTCTTTCAAATGGCCGTCCTCACCCACGAGCCTGTTTTCTGCCTCAGGTTTAACCAGGCGCCCCAAAATGCCGGGTTTCCTCACCCTCCTCATCCGACAGAGACACCTCCCGCTCTCATCCGCTCCCCCCGGCTCCGGAGCGAAGCGAAGGATCGGGAGCTGTGCCCAGCCCCTGTGTTCGGGCAGGGCTAGGTTCCCCCCTTCCCTTCAGAGCCCTTTCTCCCACGTCTGAGGCACCGCAGCCTTCAGCAAGATGGCTCCTCGGGCTGCTGGCCTCCTCCGCGCTCCCGTCTCGGCACAAGCCTGACCCGGCGCCTCATGGAGGGGGGGGCGGTGACGGGAAGGCTGAACCGGGCTGGGGGTCTGCGGGAGCTGGGCTGAGGCATCTCCCCTCACCGTGGGCTGAGGGTCCCCGCCGGCCCGTC